TCCCCGGCCGGGGATGCTTACCTCTTGCCCACAGAGGAGGGGCCGGGCGGACGCGATCTGCTCCTGCGCCTTAAACTGGGGGGGTCTGCTGGTTGCACGTAAGACTGCTTTGTGCTCTCCTCTTAACGTACGTAGGAACTGTTTGGCTTTCGCTAGGGGTATAATATCCAAGGGGGGTGAGACGCCAAACCCCCTCCCCTGTGTACATATCTCCCCACTTGCTGCATCTTTTGTAAATGATTTTTCTTCCCTTCGCCCTGCAAGTTTGCAAGGAAATAAAAGCTTAGATGTTGTGGAATTACCTGGACTTTTTATCCCCCCCCCCGCCCAATCTGCTTCAGAACACCTTTCTTTTCACAAGTGCAGAAATACCCGTTAGGTGACATGGCCTTTTATTTGCCCTATCGGACAGGGTTGGATTCGGCCCAGGCCAACCGCAGCTCAACGAGCCCGTTGCTCCTTGGAGAAAAGGCAGGAGAATAGAAATGTATGGGGAAGGGGGTCAGCTGCAGCTTCATCAAGATTGGCCCCCCAAGACTGGTGCCCCTCTCTGCTTGCCTCCTTTGGGGGAGGGAAATGTAGTCCAGGTGCAAACGCTGACAAAAAGCAGGCTGTCTTCCACTCGGGGCCCTAACCTGCCCCCCCAGAGCGTCGGGCCCTACTGCCTTCCTGGCTCCAGTTTAAGGCAGCGCTTCCCCAAAAGGCATCAGGAAGGAGTAGAGAATATCTGGGGCTCAAGGCTGAACTCTGGATCCTTGGGCTCATTCCCGGGCTAGGCAGCATCCTCTGGGGATGGGCGCTGATGACGTTCCCTGGCCTGGTCTGCAGGAGGAGCCCAAGACAGCCCGATTCAGCCTCTTTACCGGGCCCACACTGACCCTGGAAGCAAATGGGGCAGGATCAACCCCTCGCCTGACCAAACCTGCCACTGCAGCCATTGCTCCAAGCAGCCCTGGGAAGGGTATGCAGCAGCTTCTTGCCCCCCCGCCCCCAACTCAGCAGCTTCTCTCAACGGAATCACACAGCGCATTATAACCCCTCGACACCTTTTATTTGTGAGGTGGGCACCCCCACTCCCCCTCAGCAGCATTGCTGGCATCCTCCCCCCTCAATATTGCAGGTGGGAAACAGGCTTAGAATAATGTTGAAAGTGGAGCAGAAAAAGAAATATGGGGCGGGGGGCAATGGGGAGGGGAGGGCAGCCAGCTGAGGGGCAGAGGCTCAAGGCCACAGCCCCCCCCAGCAGAGGGGGCAGAGACTGGATGAGGGGCCACAGCGGGCTGCCTGCCCTTCTCCCCCACCACCCCCAAGGCAGGGTTCAGTCCCAGACTTTCAAGAAGCTGTCCCAGGAGCCCGTAGCCACGGCCATGCCGTCGTCCGTCACGCCAAGGCAGCTGACCCGATTGTCGTGGCCGGCGAGGACCCCTGCAAGGGGAGAGAATGCTGGTTGCCAGGAAAGCAGAAGAGCACACCAGGCCCCCCCAGGGAGGCCAGTCTGGGGGAGACGGTCACCTCTGCACCCTCACTTATTCCACGATATTCTCCGCCCACCCCTTTCTAGCAGACTCTGGCAGCACTTCTAGTGCCCAGCACAGGTGGGACTGCGTGGCCTTCTGCGGCCAAATCCCCAGGACTGTGGTTTCCTTGCCTGGCTTCCCTGACAAACCCAGCCAAGCCCTCCCTCACAGAAAGGGGAAGGCGGTTTAGGCGATGCAGGTTCCTCGAGCAGACAGACCTCCCACTCTTGCGACTGCAAGATGCAGAGGTGGCAAAATTTGTCCAGAAGACCAGCCACAGCTATTGTTTGTGACTGGTGGAAAGCCGGAGACAGTTTGAGTTCTCCTTGTGGGGGCTCTCGGGCTGGCCACGGAACGCAAACGTGGCAGACTTTGGTCTCATCCAGCTTCCGAAAACCAAGAATTCCTAGATTTTAGACTGATTGCAACTGGGCACCAGCAGACCCTCGAGGGCGGAAGGCACCTCCTTTCCCACACACTGCTGACCAAAAAGGGTGCAGTCAGGTCAGGGAGAGGCCTGGAGGCTGAGATCGGGGGGGGGGGGCCTGCTGGCCACTCACCTGCCCGGTCGCCCTTCATGGAGTCCCAAATGTTGCAGTTGAAGTCATCGTAGCCAGCCAGGAGGAGGCGGCCGCTGCGGGAGAAGGCCACCGAGGTGATGCCACAGATTATGTTGTCGTGCGAGTAAAGCATGAGCTCCTGATCAGCACGCAGGTCGAAGAGGCGGCAGGTGGCGTCGTCCGAACCCGTGGTGAACGCGTTCCCATTGGGGAAGAACTGGGGGAGGAAAAAAGAGGGAGGACCATTAGTGAGAGCACAAGCTGCCCCTGACGACGGAGGCATCCTGCTCGGACCACGGGACCCCTTTGGCAAAAGGAAGCCTTGTCCCATCCTGGGCGCCCCGACTCTTTCCACCTTCGTGACCCAAAAGGCAGCAGGTCCTCAGCCTTCGAGTTCAATCCTGTCTCCTCTCTGCTGGAGGGCAGGCGAGGCACGACTTCACCCCCCCACCAGATGCTGGAGACTGAACCAGCAACTCCTGGCATAAAAAGCAGGCGAGCCCATCCTGGCAGGAACTGTGCCCCAGACAGTCCCAGCCACGCCAGCCGGGGGTTCTCTTTTTCACTAGAGAACCTGAAACTGAACTGGGGTGGGAGAAATGGATGGATGGGGAAACACCAGAGGACAAGCCTCACTTCAAGACCGTGCCATGCAAAGGCAGGGAGGGTTGCTGTACTGGGCCCTGTCAATTCAGGCAGAACGCTGGCTCCTGAAGGCTCCCCTTCATTTGGGATACAAGGAGGCAAGAGCTCTTAGTGCAAGAAGGCAAATATTTAATGGGCACGACAGACACGGTGGGATGAAGAGAATATGTGCAGGTCAGGGTTGAACGGTGGAGTCCTTGGGGCTCTCTGAGCTTGGTGGTTTTCTTGCAAACGTTTCGTTACCCGGCTAGGTCACATCTTCAGTGCTTAACACCTAATTAACATCAGCCTCTTGGAGGTATCATAAAGGAAAATAAAAGGGAGTTTGTTTTTAGTACATTTTAATTAATTAATTAATTTTAATTTTAATTAACATTTATTCTGTTTTTACTGTAAACCACCCAGAGTCACCCCACGTGAGATGGGCGGTGACAAATTTGAAATAGAAATAAAATAAAATAAATAAAATAAACCCCAAGGACTCCACAGTGGGATGACTCCTGTGATTCAGCAAGAGCAGCTGAAAGATAAAATGTGTTCAAAAGAAACAGAAGCAAAAGAAGCGGAGAAGGACTCACACTATGTGTTAACGAAGATATCCACAACTGCTCAGATATCTGCAGAAATGAATTTAGTGAGGCCATAGAGACCATTTTGATTAAAATAAAGGACTGTGGTTGATGTTCACAACTGCCCTCCCAACCAAGAAGAGATACATGATGCCTTCAAAAAGCAAACTTCGGGTTCTTCAGAGGCGAGCTGTAATGCTGGGGGACTTTTAAGTACACCCACCTCTGTTGGGGGGGTAACTCACCAAGCACAGCCCTTTCGTGAATTGTCTTACTGACAACTTTCTCCTTCAGGGGACGGATAAAGGCAGAACAAGTTCAGCTCTGCTTGGTTGGGAGCCGCTGAGGAGTGGGAGCAGCAAGACCAGCGGGGAAGGGGCTGCGAGGCTGGAGACCCTGCTGTTAAGGGAAGCCCCGCACAGAGGGATTGGGGCCCCCCAAGGCCGGCGTGGGTCAGCTCCGCGCTGTGGCCAGAAGGATCCCACAGCGGGGGTGGGGGGCTGATGGGAAGGGAAGCTCAGGGCTGGGGCTGGGGGTCGGGGGGAGACGAGGAGTTCCTAAGGAGAAGAGGCAAAAAGCCCCCTCGCAGGCAGTGGCAAGGAGGAGAGGACTGGAGGGCAGCGGAGGAGGGCAGCCTGGCTGCCCCCAAAGCAAGGAAGGTCCGGAAGCCGAGGAGGACATTTAGAGGAAATGGGAAAATGGCCTGATACGCAGGGAAGGAGAGCAATGGGTGGCCCGAAGCCATAGGACTGGTGCTGGGAAAGCAAAAACTCAGAGTGAGCTGAGGTCAGCGAAAAATGTTCAGAATGAAAGTATATCTGTTCCTCAAGGAGAAATGCAAAAGGCTGAGAGGTAACCAAGAAAAGACAGGGTTCCTCAATTTTTATTTTGTCTGCATTTTCTCCACTTACAGGATTATTAAGATTGTTTTTATATTGTATTTTAATTGATTTTATCTTTGCTGTAAACCGCCCAGAGTCGTTTCAACAAGATGGGCAGTGACAAATTTGATATGAATGAATGAATGAATGAATGGTTTCATCAGGGAATTATGAAGAGCAGAATCAAAAGGGAGGATCAAAGCACGAGGCTGATCATGGCATATCCATTTAGTTGGGATGAGGTAAATCTCCAGGATCAGGTGAATTCCATCGTAAGGCACTGAAGGAACTAGCTAATGGAAGAAACTAGGTGTCTGTATTACTTTTGAGAAATCCTGAAGAGCAGGTAAAGTGCCAGATGACTGGAAGAGGACAAATGTCCCTGTCTTTAAAAAAGGATAAATCAACCCAACATTAATACTCAGGAAAACTCTAGAGACAATCATAAAATGACTTATCTGTATGTGCTTTGATAATATTGCAGTAATCATCAGAAGTCAAGAAAAAGTCTTGCCAAATTAAACTTACCTCATTTTTTAAATGGATAACTTCCTTAGTAGATTGTGGGAATGCTCCAGATATACCTTGATTTCAGCAAAATATTACAGTTGCCAGTGAGGTTTTCCTTCGCAAGCTACTCAAATGTGGGCTGGCTGTCATGACAATTAAGTGGATACGTGGCTAACGTGAAAATCATAAGCTGCATCAATATTTCTGACCAAACTGGAGGAGGTATTAAGGGGGGGGGGTGCCACAAGATTCAGTCCTGGTTCCTATATTCTTCAATGTATTTATTACTAATCTGAATGAAGAGGTTGAGGGAAATCCATCAAAATTGCAGATAACAGAAAAATGCATGGGATAGCTAATACTTTAGAAGATGGAAATAAAATTCAAAATGATCCTGATAAGCTACAGAAGTAGGCTGAAAATAAGGAAATGAAATTGGATAGTCTGGTGTTTCTCAACCTTGGCAGCTTTAAGATGTGTGGACTTCAACTCCCAGAATTCCCCAGCCTGGCTGGGGAAT